GACGACTGCAAAGACAGAGCTGGTAAAGAGTTAATGGATTAACACCCACACTGCCTGAAGTCTGTCAGGGTGGTGGTATAGTCAGCATATTAGTAAAGTTTCATGGTTGCAGGTTTTTTGGAATGCATCTAAAATTAGAGAAGAGCAGCAAGTTTTGCTTTTATTTCTCTATCCGCAGAGACACAAAGAACTTACTAAAGAGACTTTTCTATTTTAAGCTGTAAGCTCCTGCTGTGGAATTTATTCAGCATTAGCCAAATTCATCAGTATACGCCATTCCAACACTAATAACATGATGACAGAATTAGGGCTTTACTAGCACTGAAAACCAACTTACTAGAAGTACTTGTGGGCCACAACTATAATGAGCTGTAAATTAATGGGCTTGATCATGTAGCAAAACATCATTACAGAAGCGGTTAAGTGATGACTAAGGTTTTAGGTCAAATGTCAGAGAAAGTGAGGTGAAGGAGCCAGTAAAAATCATGACAAAAGAGCGCATGATCCTACAACACAGACTTGAACACAATGGTGTCTTTAAATGAGAGACCTTATCTTGTTCTTCCTTTTAAATTCGAAGAAAGAGTGACTCATTTATGGCAAATAAATGACACATTTGAAATACTGTTCTGTATCAGCAAATGTCAGCAAATGTAGGAAAACATGTTTTGTAAGCATTTCTTTTCCTAATTCAATATGTTTTGTAAGCTTAGTTACAATTTGGCATCACACATCTGTGAGCCATTAGATAAATGATACTGCAGATTAGGGTGACTTCAGCAAATGAGAGGTTTGTGATAAACTCATTTTTAAAACCCCAAAATTATCATCTGGAGACGGAAAAAATAGAAATCTTAAATTTGTGAAATAAAATTGAATGTTGCTGACCAGGGGGACTGTAATTTATAAAAATATTTCAATGTTATTTTCACAGTTTTTTTAAATCACCATGTCTCTACAGTTCTTTTTCACTGACATTTAATGTCATTAAAGAATAAGAGAATTAGAGTGCTTAGAAAATAGTAGCAAGAGAGACTCACGCACAAATTCGGTTGTACAATATGAACCCAACTAGAGAGAACATACTAAAGTCCACGCAGAACATTTGTTCAGAACTAACGCAAAGGCACGCAAAGGCTATTTTTTCCTTTTTTTTTTTTTTTTATATCTTAGTAAAATTTGAATGTATTGCTATGTTTAAAGTAGTAAACCCTTTTTACTGTAATGTAAACCTATGAAAACTCTGCCACAAGAGAATAAACCTGGAAAGGACTTCAGGAAGCCTCTTCTAACAGTATATATTCATAATTACAGCTCTACATATTTTTGTGCAGTTTTAAAGATAGGTGAAAGAAAAGGCCTATGAAAGGATCAAGTATTACAGGATCACAAATTTACATGCTAGGGAACATTTTGTGGTCGTGCTGTCACCTTCACGCTTCTCTTCCTTTGTTGTTTGGGTGTTTTTTGTCTTTAGCAATCCAATGTAGCCTTCTCCTAAAAAAATAACCATTGTTCACACCTCTTTTCCATTTAACACCTGGCTCATCTTTAACTTTTTAGTCCTCGTTGAAGAGTCTCTTTGAAAGAGCTGTTTCAAATTATTCTCTCACCTTGTATTTACTTCATTTTGGTTGTGCTGTCTTCACAAGCAGCCCTCATTAAGACCTCTATATTACTAGCTCCTTTCTGTCCAGCTCTCCACAGCTTTCTGTGATCAGCTTGTCCACCACTGACCTAAGACCATCCTTTTTCCCTCCTTCTACTCTCTCAGCAAATATCACATTTCTTTGTCCCATATTTTTCTCTGTACTTTCTCCTAAGTGAACTCATCCATTAGCAGTGTGAAGTTCTCGTGTGAATGTTGATCATTTGCAGATCTACATCTATTCTTATTTCTTTATAGCCAAAGCACATTTTAAAAACACTCATCTACAAATCATTTTGGCTAGCTTGTCAGCACCTAATCCCTGCATGGTTAACAGAAGGACTTCCTAGTTCTTCTGTCCTTCATCTGTCTCTGCTATTGTTAATGCAATTACCATTTTATCTGGACTCAGATTTGTGTTGATTTCTTCTAGTGCTTTCTCTCATTCATCAAAGATGTGGTGCAACGTTTCTTTTACAATAATATATTCAAAATCAGGTTTGTCCTGTCTATGTCCTCTGAGGTAGACCCTTCCTTGTTCTGAAAACTCCTGTATGATTGATTAACTGTGTGTTTTTCTCTTTACTCCATGCTGCTTATGGGTTTCCAAAATGTTGTGTATGAAATAACAGTCTTTCCCCCCACTTATTCCATTTTGATAATTCCTTCCTTGGCGAATCAAATCACATTCCCACTCCCTATTTCACATTTACAATATTTTCTATGATTGGAAAAAATAATGCATTATTTCGTCCTACCCGTTGTTAACTTTTCCTTTTCCCCTTACCATTTTAACTGACAGCAAAGAAAGCATCCAAGTTTCGTGACTGGCTGGATTGTAGCAGCATGGAAATAAAGCCAAATGCAGTTGCAATGGAGATTTTGGCATATTTAGCGTACGAGACTGTGGCACAGGTAAGGGAGTATACTGATTGAACTCTAGTTAAACAAAATTAATTACTCTTGAATGTAGTTTGGCCTCAGGTGACTGTGTTGTAAGCCTCTTTCAAAGCATGCAGTCACTACTTCGGCTGCCCAAGCTAACCAGATTCCTGTCCATCTTTCAATTTACTCTATCACAGATGTGTACTGTATCCTATTCATCCATTTGATAAACAAATAGAAATGTTTTATAATGGTTACAGAACAGAGTGGAGTCCAGCACGAACTTTATTCAAGACCAAACTGAAACCACATACTTCGCTATGTGACCTTTGGCAGTGCGCAGAGGCTCATTCAACCCCATTGCACAATTGGATTAAAAAGCAGGATTTCCTGGAAAACAAAACGTTGCCTTAGTGCCAAGCTGAGCCCTCTTGGGTAGATAGATTACTCCATATATTTACAGAAGTGGAAAAGAAAAGTTCTTTAGGCTGAAATCTCTCTGAATAATTTTGTTTTCAACTGAGAAACACTAAGAATAATCTGCCTCAACCCACAACTGCTCTCTCTCTTCATTGTTATGATGGTATTAGTAGTAAGTACCATGTCAGTAAACCTACCTGTTTATCGGCTGTTTTCGCCCCTCCAGTTGGTGGACTTGGCCCTTTTGGTTAAGCAGGACATGGCTCCCAAAGCTGGTGACCCATTCAGTCATGCCATATCTGCCACCTTCATACAGTATCACAACTCTACTGAGGTAAATCTTGCTTTTTCAAATATTAATGCATTTTATGTTTTACTTTTACATGTATTTGGTAGTTTGTGTCTTTTGAAGAAGATGTTATTAAGTCTGGTATTGATATAGACTTCTATTATGGAGTTTATGAACATTGAAGTTATGGATTTAGATGGAAAGACTCTCAGTCTTCTCCAGGCTAAAGAGCCCCAGCTCTCTCAGCCTTTCCTCATACCAGAGATGCTCCATGCCCCTCATCATCCTCATAGCCCTCCACTGGACTCTCCCCAGTAGTTCCCTGTCTGTCTTGAACTGGGGAGCCCAGAACTGGACACAGAGCTCCAGATGTGGCCTCAGCAGGGCAGAGTAGCGGTGGAGGAGAACCTCCGTCGTCCTGCTGGCCACACTCTTCTTCATGCACCCCAGGACACCATTTGCCTTCTTGGCCACGAGTGCACACTGCTGGCTCATGGAGAGCTTGTTGTCCACCAGGACTTCCAGGTTCTTCTTCACAGAGCTGCTTCCCAACAGGTCAACCCCTAACCTGTACTGGTGCCTGGGGTTATTCCTCCCTGGGTGCAGGATCCTACACTTGCCCTTGTTGAATTTCATTAGTTGCCTCTCCACTCAACTCTCTAGCCTGTCCAAGATTAATTGTCTAATGGCTGTTTGACATCTTGCTTTTATAGCCACATCTCTTAGGGCAATCTACAAGCATGAAGACCAGTCTTGACTCTCCTGAAAACACACCACCTCCTACGCCCACACCCCCAGCATCAGCAGGACAGCAACATCTTGGGAAAACCCCGTCAGGACCCCTGGGGAATGGTGGAATTGGACAGGACTCTACCAAATCCAAACAAAGGAAAAGAAAAAAGGTATTTGGTACACAAGCCTGAAAAAACAAACAAACAAACAAAAAAACCCCACCGAAACATCTTCAGGAAATAATGTGTCTCAATTTAAACATTAATTTTAACCTATATCACATGTTAACTACCAATGTTATTATTGTAGGGTCAAATGCATGGGTTTTCTTCTATCAGAACTAGGCTAAAACTTCTCAGTAATGCCTGCAAACTGAATTTTGTTGAGGTAACAACTGTTGCTTCTAAGATGAGCTGCTCCTCTACAGCCAGAGCAGTAGACACTACCCCAAATAATCATCCCCTTCTCTGACAGTAGCAGGTAATGTAAGTTTTGAGGGTCAAAGCATAAGCAATGTAGGCAAAGAGGGGGCGGTGATTTGCCTGCTCCCAGTAGCCTTAGGCAACTGCCGCCTGTGCCTATAACAACTTTTCCTGACCTGCTTTATTTTTATTGCAGTTGGTTGCATTCAATCTAAATATTTGTTTACTTTGCATAAAATATGGATGTCTCATATTCAGAGTGTGAAATGTAAATATTACAATTCCTGTTTTCTGTTGTAGATCCTTGGTATTCTGTCTGAGAGGGATATATGTACCTTAAAACCACAAGGGAAATAGATTTGATTAAATAAACTAAATAGGAAGCACTGTGTTAGTCACTTAGGGCTTTTTTGAAAAAAAATGTGATTGCAGTACTCATTTTGCTGCAAAGCAATGGAGTGACTTGTGATTTTCTCATGTGTGTTATTCTCCTACAACCAATTTTTCACAGTTCCACTAGTGATTTTTACAATGACAGATAGAAATAGATGTATTTTCTCCTTGTAGTGTTATCAGTGCTGTAGATACTCGTAATAGTCCATTTAGAAAGCCGTTAGTGAATCCTAAAAACCTCTCTGAAGACTTTTGCTTTTCCCTCTTCCTTTTTATATTAAATTTGGTTATGTTTTACTTCTGTGGCTGATTTCCATTATTACTCCTAGGAACAAGAATTTAGCTGGACATGTAATTTTTGATACATTATATTTCAGTAGTGTTGTGAGTTTATTTTAAATCCTTAATATTTGACTTCATGTCTTTTGAAATAATTATATTCTAAAAAATGCACAGTTTTAATGAAATCTTCCCACGACTTATCCAATTTGGTTGGGTATATACTGGATATAACTGAGGCATAGAGACAGAGTTAACTTGGTGAAGAATGTTATTCTTAGTTCATGAAGGCCCAGTCCAGCTGAAAATATTTGAGTTTCGTATTCCCTTTATGAACGTCAATCAGCAAGGGAAGAATCTGCCATAGTGTTATGAATAATTCTGTGTGTACACACACAGGCTCCAGTGGACTCAGCACTCTTGAAAATAAAACATTTTGTAAAAAATATCCCAGGTTTGAAAGAATTAGTATATAGTGTAAATGTATGAGGGGACTGTGTGTGTGTGTGTACATTTAAATTTTTGTCATTCTTAGAGCATTCACTAATATCGTTTTCATGAATTTATTACCGAGCAGCCATCATTCTGATAAGTTGTCTGAATTCTGGCAAGCAGCTGTGTCTAGATGGAGCCTAAAACAACATTTCAGTTTGACTAACAAGGAGAAAAGAGTAACTTTTTCTTTTAAAATCCTGGGGATAGTTTTGTAAAATCAATGGACCAGTAGCAGTGAATTCTTATTTTTCCTGTGTAAGGTCCTTATCCAAAAAGCCATCTGAAATTTGAAAACATTCCAATTTGAGGTAATTAAAATATTTTTGCATCCCCCTAACACCATTATGTCACATCTTTCATCTTCCAATTTGAATCTGATATTACTCAATGGTGATTTTGGTGTCAAATTGCTTTCCACTTTGGGTACTTGTTCAATATTTTCCCCACCCCTTGACATCATAATGAGTGCCTGAAATGTTTTAAAAATAGTTTCTGTGGTTATTGCAGTGTGACTTATATGACCCTTTCATTTTAGTTTGAACATTTTCTGCTCTTTTCAATTGCAACATACAGCAGCACTAGGTGAAAGATTTAAGAGGACAAATATGGTGTTCTTTGGGTCTCTTAAGCAAAGTTCATGTAAAAGTCCTCTTTGATTTGTTAATAGCTTTTTTTTTTCTCTAATGTAGTGTGTGGCAGCAATGATGTGTATCCTCAGGAAAAAAAAATTGGTCCATTTTATAAAGGTTTATTTTCATACTTTATGCACTGTAGGTCTGTTGTGTGTTTTTGATTTAGTAACAATTTATGTGTTTTTCTGTTGCAGAGCACTGCAGCCTGTGGTATAGAGGCTCAAAGCGATGCCATCCAGCCCAGCCACATCAGAGAGGCCATTCGACGCTATGGCCACAAGATTGGCCCCCTTTCCCCATTCACAGTACGTAATAACAGAGTTATAAAAAGTTATATTTATAATCTTAAAGAACTTTGATTTTCAAGTGGTCAAATGAAGAAGCTTTGGAATTGTTGAGAGCAATTTGTGGTGACTGTAATTTTCTTTATAAAAGTGGCATAATTCTCTTGGGAAATAAAACTTAGTAATTTCTGTCTCTTTTTGGAAAGACAAAAAAAGTTTTTTTTTCTTTTAAATATTATTTTCTTTCAATTACAAATTATGCTTTTTTGTTAGTGCTTGAATTTTCTGTTTTTGCAAAGTTTAGGTTTACAGTTATTTTAAATTATATGTATTCCAATATGGTGAGGAGCACTTTATATTCTAAAATTAGTTGTGTGTCACATACTTCTCCTATTGGAAGTTGAACTCTCAAGTGACACATTTACGGTTGGAGAAAGAAGAGAATGGTTTCTTTAGACAACTTTGAACCTCCACTAAAATGTAGTAGAACTGAGTTTGTGGTAAAACATTGATGGGTTATGAGGTTTTGCCAGCATTTTTTCTATGCAAATTTCAAATCCATTGTTCAGAGCAGCCAAATGAATGCTTTATTTAATTTTCTCAGCTGATAAAAATGTGAAAGTAGACTGTCTCCAGTGCCATCACTTGGGGTCATTTTCTTCTGATCTGCTGTTCTGTGTGGCATATATCCTTGCTTACCTCAGAATAGTTACATTTAGGAATGAATGAATGTCAAAGAAATCATTACAGGAAAAAAACCAACCACCAAAACAACAAAAACCACCAAACTAGATCTGACCTCCTAAAAATTAGGAAGAAATTGTGCATTTTTGGAGGGATTTTAGGAAAAGAGAATGATTCTGAATTTGGAGGAAATTCATCTACATAAAAATTATACAGAAGTATGTGAAGACCATAAATACCAAGGAAATAGTGGGACTTGACCTCAGAAGTAAGGAATAAGAAAAAAAAAGAGTAAATAAATATATGAAGTTATAATTTTCCTAGTGTCAAAACTGATCAATGCTTTTATAAATGGCACTAAATATTTGGTTTATTAATGATAGTTGATATGTATTTGCAATGGATTATCCTTACATAATTTTACCTCTCTCTTTTGCCACTCACAAATGCTAGATTAATATAATGTAAAGTGTAGGATAGAATATCTAGTCCAAAATAGAGAAGTTTCTTTAGCAGGAATTTGCTAAGAGATGTAGCTAAGAGTATGCCAATAGCTTCTGAAAGCAGAGAATATATTTAATTTTATTATAAAGAAGTAAAGAACTCACATAAACAATTACAGAGAGGTAAGTCTTCCTGACCCTCACTAAAAGTGGTTTGGTAAATTATTAACCAAAGTTTGAAATTTGTGTCCAACCACAAGATAAAATAAAATACTCTGGTTTGGGTTGGGTTTTTTTTGGAGGGTTTTTTTTTTTTTTTTTTAACTAACTGAACAATTTAATTTGTTGACATTACCTACTTTCAACGTGGTTGATGAGATGAGCAGATCTTGTTCCCTCTAAACAAGCCAAGAATGAGAGAGGGAATCTTGGGTCATCTAGATGCATAGAGATGTTGTAGAGAGCTGTAATATGATTCCCTTTTTAATAAGGAAGTTCAGGAAAAGCACTTTGAGAGCTATTATTGACTATGCATTTAGGTCTGCCAAGCTGCTCGCTTTTCCTGTCAGTGCCTTCGTTGGCAGTTTTGGGGACGAACAATGCTATCACAATTGTCTAAAATTAAAGTACCCAAATGTCCTGCAAGTTCCTTATAGGTGCAGAAAGCGTGAAGGTAGAATAATGCTTCCTTTGTCCCTACCTTTTCCTATTGCCAGACTGTCATACTGTTGCATTAAAAGTATTATCTCTAGGCATTTGGAACAGTACCACAGCAACACTTCTTTTGAATGACTTCTGCTTTGTCCTGTTGCCACTGCCTTCACAATAGTTTCTTTCATCTTAGACAGGATGACAGAAGCAGGAGGAATGGTGTGCTTTACTTGATGTGCTTCTTGTGATTCTGTGGTGACACTTTAAAAACTGCAGACAGAGAAATATTGAATATCTGTCATTAGATTCAGTGAAGTCATGCTTTCAGCTGTTTCCACCCTTAAAACTAACCTAAAGGGCATGCAGAGAAGTTAGAAATATACATTTGCAAATAATTTCTTCCATTTCTCTTAAGCCTGTTGATAATTCTTCTACATCAGATCTGATTTTATAGTCAGTAGGTGCCCTAACAGAGTCTGCTGTAGGTGAGCAGAAATTATTTTTCTGCATGTCCAGATGTTTTGCACAAAGTTTTCTGATGGCAGGTTACCGTTCGTGTTACACCTAGTACAGAAGCACGGAAAAGAATGAACAACCATATTTGTGACCTATATATGTGTTCACTCCAGTCCCTAAAATGTATAGATTAGACTGAACTTGAAGTAAAAGACACAATTCTACATTCTTACAATAGTAACAAGAAAAAAGTGCAAGTCTGCTAATGCCAAAATGCTATATTACTCCAGTGTAAGCTTATGATACTTGTACAGGAAGAATGTAGAATCGGTCCTAGAAACCTAACCGTGTACTTACCTATCTGAATAACATCACGTGTGTTAGGGACATACAGGAAATCGCATACGAGGAATAATACACAAAATCAGTTATCCAAAGTATTCAACAACAGTTTTTTTGAAAACAGCAGCATGTTCCTGTTGAGTTCTTGAGTTCTGACCATTGAGAAAAGATTGGGGAAAGAAAAAGGGATTACTTTAAATGCTTTCCTGTCTTCCAAAGCAATATGATTTGAACTTTAGCACAGTTCAGTTATTGAGATTTAATAAATTATTTTAATTTTGTAGGCCTGTGCTATTCTGAAATTTCTTGGATATGTGACTATTGAGCAGTAAGGAGGATTTACAGAAGAATTTTACCCTTGCTGTAAATTAATAAGAAATAATGGACAGCTCTGGACTATTTTTTCATTTTAAATAATTTCCATCTCATTCCAGCCAATCATACGAGGCAGAGAGCAAAACATTTTCTTTTTCATTTGGGAGATTATTTTTAATTTAGCTAGAGTTGTTTTTTGGCTTTTTGCCATGCTATCTAGTGTGAGGCATTCAGTAGTCTCCCTGAAATTCACTGTGTATCATTTTTAATATTTATGGTTTAACAACATTGGTTTTTGAAAGACTTTATCATCTATACACATGGATTGAGTTTAAATCAGCAGTACATCTGGAGAAATTAATAAAAAACTGGACCTGCAAAGTATCTGATAATATTTCCCCATTTAAAATTGCAAGATACTATAAAATCAATGTTCTTTATATGACAAATGCCATGAAGATGATTGCATTTTAAACCAAAGCCAGACAAAAATATTCTAACTGCCCTTGATATTAAAACACAGAATTTATCAATTCCCTTTCCCCCCCGCCCCGTGTTATATGCTTTAATCTTTTTTTTCCTCACCTTCTTTTCATTTCTTACCTCTGGTGAGCCAGGACTTAGTGCTTAGACTAAAGCTAATTTCTGCACTGTCTGGAAACTCATCCTCAGTAGTGGCAAGACCAATACATAATTGCAGAGACAGACGAAGGTATAGATATTTAACTAGATTGCCAGCTGGGAAATCCTCCTTGTTTCTCCAGATTCAACATCACACTCCAAAAATGTGAAAACCCTCTACCTTCCTTCTTCTCTGTGGGGTTGCAGGTAGGGATCTGCCTTGCTTTAAGACTTGATTGACATGTTTTTCCGTGATTACTCATTCACATTTGACCCAGGTACTTACCCGTGCACACCTAGAGCTAAGTCTCCAGAAAGGCCTCTGTGTTTGAATCACTCGCCATGGAGACTGTGATGTATGAGACTTTGATTCTGCTCAGTCGAATAAAATATACTTGTTTCTTTGGCACAGTTCACGAGAGGATATGAACTGATAGGAGAGTCTTCTTCTGGTCTTGTATTTATCCTACCAGTTCACAGCTTTCATTGTGGTGTGGGTTGTTTGGTTTTTCCTTAGACCGTTTTTCCATCCCTCAAGGTTGTTCTCTGTTGAGAGCAGAGCAGCGAGACCAGAGGACCACGAGAACCTTACACATATAGGTATTGGCTCTAATCTTGTCTTGGCAACAAAGTGGTGTTTTCATCAAGAAACTTCCAGGTATGGGGACTAACTTTGGGATGGATGCATTCAATATGAAGTTCACCCATAAGCAGACTGAGTTCGTCCCTGAGTACCATCAGCCATGGTCTCATATTGAAGCTTGATGTTGGAGGAGACAGAGTGAGTGGATCTCATCAGTTGGTCCCATACCAGGAATTTCCAAAGTCAACCTCTCCATTTTAGACGTAAACAAGAAAGCAGTAGTTCATATCCAGGATCCTTCTCAGATATGTTTCTCCGGTGAAACTGTCTGATGTAGATGGGATTCAGGATGACAAGTTATCTCAATTTTCCATATGCCATCTCACAGCTTGGGTACCAGGTTGTTCTCAGTGTTAAGGGTCTTATTGCTTAACTCTGTTTCTTACACACTACTGCTCCAAAGTCTTTTTAATGTAGATTGTAGGAGGCTACTCAGTGCTCCATCTACATTATTACCAAATTAAGATACAGTGGTCATTGTTATGGCATGAAAACTCAAAGGTGTAGTTGTATGTCTGGATAGAGAATTGTGTCATTGGAGCCATGTACTGTGTGAATATGCATGGAAGTAAGTCCTTGAAGAAGGAGAGATTAATTTTCTGTAATAGATTTGCATATATTTTGGTTGTATATTTTCCCATCTGCCCATCTTTTCTCAGTTTTTTCAGACTCCCAGGGGGAGAGAAACAAAAGGCTTTTGTGACAGTTTAGCCAATGCAAAAAAATAACCAATTATGGCTAAGAATGCACTTAACTGGAATCGTAACGGCTTCTCAGTACTTCAGGAAGGAGTTATTCCTGAGTACACCAAAAGTCATTTTGTACTCAGCATCCAGTGTTTTACTCTGTGTGAATCTAAGATTACA